TGTAAATTATGTCTTTCCATATTTTTGATGTTGTTTTGAGGGTCTAGTAGAAACTTTAGAGGTTAACACTGAATCATTTTTGATTGAGATTTATTGACAGATGTAGTATTAAATCTGACTGGTTTAGTTTCTCCCTTTACAGCACATGTTCTCCTAGGAACTTCAGACCAAGCTATTAATGCAATCAACACTCTTAATGGTCAGAATTTTCATGGCTATGTTGTTGGCGTGTCCATTCCTCCACCTGACAGCTTCTTGTTTGTTGGCAATTTGCCATTTGAATTCACTGAGGAACAGTTCAGGAACTTGATGAGCCCTTTTGGACCAATAGAAAGAATATTCCTTGTACGCAGTTTGTTTACTGGTGAGAGTAAAGGCTACGGTTTTGTGGATTACATCAATCGTGAGTCTGCGTCTCTAGCCAAACAGCAGTTGATGAGCACAGGATCAAAATATGTTGGTGGAAGAATACTCAGAGTAAACTTTGCTGAGCCTAATCTGTTAACTTTTGAAGATTTGCACTCAAAGACACTGTTTGTAGACAGACTACCACGGGATTTTACCAATGGAGAAGTGTTGAGAGAATTGTTCTGTCAGAGTGGAACAGTTACATTTGCACAGGTTTGTAAAATAATGTCAATCATATTTATGATATCAGTGTTTATAATATCCTATGGATTATCAGATGGGGAAATATTGGTAAAGATGATCATCAATAAATCGAGGAATTGTGAATGTTTTGAATGTGACTGTAACTGAATTGTATTCAGATCATAATCAGTTCAAACCTTTACTAATAATTAAATACTAATTTATTGCTGGATTTAAGGTGGCTGTCAACCAAACTGGTGTGTCTCGGGGATTTGCGTTTGTTGATTACGCAACAGCAGAAGAGGCAGAAAAAGGACAAAAGGCACACAATGGAGCATTGTTGGAGGGCACCAACATCCGTGTGGCTTACGGGACACCAGGACGAACCGGGGCAAGCATACTTGGCGGCCATCATAACACAAGTGTGGTATGGGCAATTTTGAGATTTTTCATCATACGACAATATTTTTACCCTTATAATCAAACTTTGATTTATGTTGAACTGTCATAACAGTTTTCTTGGCTTAGAACTGTCTTTTTTCCTAAAGTTTGAATTTTCAGCTAGTTTGAAACTGATCTTAATACAGTTTCTTCAGTGTAAATAGGTTTAAAGTAGTCAGCAGTCCGGTTCATTGCCCAATTTTTGTCATCATCTGGTCCAGGAGTAAATGTGGATGTTTGCTTCTCTATTTAGGGAGGACAGTCACAATTTGGTTCTCGTCCTAGAGGCCCTTCTCCTCATGTACCTCAAGGTGCAGATGTGATGGGTGCTAGAGGACCACGCCCTCTTATGGCACCACGTCCCCTTATGGGATCGGAACCTTGGCAGCAAATGCCGCGAGGCCATCCAGGAAGACCACCAAGACCACTTATGAGACCTGGTCATCCAGTAAGTGTGTTAATTTGAAGTGAAAAATAAGTATCACTAAGGTGCTTGTACATTTGTAAAAATTGAAATCAGTAAGCAGACTGTAAGCAGGCACTCACAGAACAAGAGAAAGTGTATGCTGATTCATAATCTGTAATAGTTTTAAGCTAAGCCACCCTTCAATGCCAAGTAACTCCTGTGGCCAAGTTTTGTTTCAGGCTAGTAAAATTTCTGCTGTTTTTATTAGTCAGTTAATTTTAATTTTTTTCTTTTTCATTTCAGGGTGCAAGGTTCATGGCATCCAGGTCACGAGGACCCTCTCCAGGTCCAGGAGGTGCCAGGGGCACTGTGTTTGGTCATGGACCCAGGCCCCTTCTGGGCAGGTCCCAAGGGCCAAGACTCTCAATGAGACATGCAGGTTAAGCTCTTTATGAATACATAAAATGTTTCATTTAATGATTGATTCTTATCTGTTATAGATCTGCTTTACAAAAGATGAGATGGGGATTGATGTGAATTATGAATGGAAACATACTATCCATAGTGTAGCTCCTCTAAAAAGCTATATTGACACCTTACCCTGGCAGCTCTAATGGTTGAAATTTAAAGTTGACGATGTGTGTTTGTTCTAATCAGGACCAAGGGGCTTTGCTGGAATGGGTGTCGGAGGCCCACCAGGTGTGAGACCCATGGCACCTAGAGGAGGGACCATGCAGCCAAGACCTTTAATGGACTTTGGAGAGCAACTTGATGGGACAGCTTTCTTTCCTGAGCAGATGCAGGTATGATACAAATCACAAGTGCTTTGCTGCATTTGCAACATCCAGTAATCTTGTGGAATTGTGTTCAAATAATTATCCTCATCTGTGTGACTTAGTAGTCTGGACATAACTGGAGCTGTAGTGTACCATGCTGTGATTCATTTCCAGATGTTACTCTGGATGTTAGAGGTTCTTATGCATGGGAGACAGTTCCAACTTACATGGAATACATTTCTTTTTTTTAATAGGGTGGTCCAGTTGGTGTTGACCCCTCCCAGCAGCCCCTGAATGAGGCCATACCCAACCTAATGGGGGAACCAATGGCAGGGGGTGGATTTGCGCCTGTGGCTGACCCAGGAATGTTTGGTCAAACTGCCGTTCAACCCATGGCACAACAGCAGGAGGTATTGGCACCTGCTCCTGTTCAGCAGCAAGGAATGCTAGTACCATCCCAACCACAGGGACCTAGAACTGTGGTTCCACAGTTGGTAGGTTTATAATGAACCTTTCTTTGCACCTCTTTCTTTTGTGTACTCTTCTTGGACTTCTAATACAAAGTGCCCCAAGAATACTTCCTTGGAGTGTAAGTGCATGCAGATGATGGTTTTGGTTCAATTTTACCCCCGGTACAATTTGGTATTTTCTTTTGTTTTGTTTACGATATATTATGTAGTATTATAATACATTGCCATACACCAGAACAAAGGAAAATTTATACCAAATTGGACCATGGCCAAGGGTAAAATTGAGCCAAGACATAAACAGCTTATTCCCTCAAGGTCTTTTTTTTTCTCTTCTCTAGACGTTGTTTTCACTCTTTTCCTCCTGTGATCTAAATTACCTCAACATTCCTCTGTAAAGTGTAGGTAGGAATTTAAGTCTTCCATTCACGATTCCTGATCAGTGCCTCTTTACGTTTACTTTTCTTCTCTTATCAATCCAAAACTCCCGAAGATAGCTCTGCAGAGTGTTATTAGACATCTTACATTTTTGTCCCTTTCTTGTACTTCTTTTTCTATTGTTCTTTTCTTTTTCTTTTTGTGATCTGTGATCCTATAAGTTTTAACATGTAAGTCCTTTAGGATCTCCCACTCCTTTCTTATCATTTTCTCAGTTACAGTAGATTCTGGCTATGGACATCTAAACTGTATGTATTGGAGGATTATACAGATAACTATCAATAATAATGAAATACTTGGCACTAAACATCTAACAGTAACTATTTCTTTGACTATTTCACTAACAACAGATGCAAGTTCAGACTGTCCCTGGTGCATCTGTGGCCTCCTATCCTGGCCCCCTACCTGGGGCTCAGACACAAGTGGCTGTCATGCCACAGGCACCCCAACAACCAGTCATGGTACCTACCCAGCAAATGCCTAACAGCCAAATGATGTATGCCACATCTGCTACGATGCAGACGCAGGCTGCAGTGCCGCAGGTAGTACCACCTGATCCAGCTCCCCTCATGGGAATTCCTGCTCCTGGTAGTGCAGTGGCAGGTCAAACTGATCTCAGTGCAGCACAGCATGGGGTACCTGGAATACAACAAATTGTAAGAAGATGTAAACAATTGTAGATAAATGCATCTTGAACATCATGTATTAACACTGCTATTGTGTATTATCATAAAAAAGTACTTTGCTACTTAGAATAATGTCATACATGTAATATCATGGGTGACATTTATTATTCCTTAATTTTCGCATGAAACTTCAGCGTTAATTTATAATTTCACATGTGAAATTACAAAACTGCCATGGCAACATTTGGCACAAAATTTTTCGATGCAATAAACAAGTCAAAAACCTGAAATTGCAAGCATAATTATAATTATTTATCACCCATGATATTAAAAGGTAATCAAATGGTATACTAGTGAAATAATTCCACTTGGGAATTCTAATAATAATTATTAGAATTATTATTATTTCCCTCACCTAAAGGCTTGGAAATTTATTAGAATTTTGGCATCTTGCATGTGAAATTATTTCCTAATTTCACTTGTCACCATTTGAGTACTTATACTAATTTGTATTAGTAGAATTCTACTTGAACACTGATGCAAACTCTGCAATCTGATTGGCTGAGTAATCGCACACTATCAGCCATCAGTGTGCAGTGACTGGAGGTCGTCTACGAAATGGTGACATTTTTTTCGTTTGTCCAAAATTTTGAAGGAACATTTTTGAATAAATGGATAATCAAACTCCTGAGAAGTCTAAAAGGAGGGCATTTACAGTTTTTCAAATTAAAAACGCTTGAAATTTTTGAACACACACGACTGCAAATGTCAAATTGACAATTCAGTCTACACGAATTCTTTAAAGGTTGAAGTTTAATACTAAAAACAGAAATAAAATTTTGGAATTGTTATTTGAAGGAGATTTCAGTTAGAATTCTACTAAAAGAATTACTAGATTATTCCCTCTTGATTTCTGTGAGGCGATAGTTGATTCAGGCTTTGGCCTCATCAACTATCACCTCACAGAAATCTTGAGTTCATAATCTAATATTATTGTTAATTAGTACTTGTGACCTTTGATGTGACAGTGTCTACAGGTATAATTTACATGTATTAAATGGATGTGTGGTGACCTGAGGTATTTGTTATTTTAGGCTCATGTCGACCCAGCTGTTAATACAGTAGCCAGCTCTGGTTATGTTGTACTTCCAACAGACACAACTCAACAAACTGCATTTTATGCACCACAGGATCCCCAGTCTCAAACTTTGGTAAAGTATACTTAATCCATTACTTCATGTAAAATACATGAAGAAGACCTTGTGTGCAGTCCTACTTTGGTTACATCAGTTCTTCTCTGGTTACATTGTTTAACCATTATTTGAGTCTTGTATTTTAGTGCAGTTTTGTTTCCTTTCTTTTGTGTACTGCTTTCCTTTGTGTACTTAGCATGTGAAGAAGACCTCATTCACCAACTGCTGTTTGTTTTTTTCCAGCCACAGTATACCTCAACAGGTCAGGTGCCAGGACAACAACCCGTTGTTCAGTTACCAGTGGGAACGGTTCAACCAGGAGCTGTTATGCAGAGCCAGGTGCCGCCATCCCAACCCACTCCTGTTCCCATGGTAACCCCCCAGACACAGCAGTATCAGTGGTATCAACAGGTTCCATCTGCTGTTGGAAGTGTGGCAGTGTCCACTCCGATCACTCAAAACACACCTATGCAAGGTATAAGAGTAGTTTTCACCTGAGTGTTGAAAGTATAATAGACCTTTTTACTGATGCAGTGGCCATCTTGAGTAAGTTAAAGTTTACTATGAGATGCTGAGAGGGCAAAACAATTGAAGTGTAATTGTGTTCAGTCTGTTTGCTGGCTAAGTAAGAATTCGTCTCAAATATTTCTTTGAAAGATTGACATAAAAAAAATTGTGCCACTTTTTTATTCAATCAGAAGTAAAACCAAAACCAACTGTGATTCGCTCACACACATTTTCCTGTGCTTGCATTGGCTTTATGTATTTACTATTGGTTTTGATTGGTTCACTAGATTGTCTGTGTCCTTTGTGTTGGTTTGAACGATTACTCTGGTTTTGGTTTTTCAACACTAAATTCAAATCCCTTTAGACTCTAGTTATTACTTGGCTGTAGTTTGTCTTGAGTGATTGCAATATGTTTCAGTATCGGTCATTTACTAGGTATAACATACCTAATATTTTAAGCAAAATTAAATCAACTATTTAAAGAACTCTTACTAAGGAATTGATCAATTTTTATGATTTTTTTTATAATTATCATAAATTTGTGATCCTTTCTTCATTACCTTATTTTAGTGTTTTAATTTTTTAACTATTTTTAAGATTGTTGTACTTTAAATTTAAGGGAGGCCACAAGTTTACCAGTCTATGACTGTTATGTTTACCCTCATTGAATAAAGTTATTACTCACCTACTTATAATACATGTACATGTAAATACCGGGTAGGAACTTATTTTCACAAAAATGGAAAGAAATTTTGTATGTCTCAAATTTCATGATTTGGCAGAAATATTATGTTGAAGGAAACTAAATAATTTTTATATATCTGTCCAGCCATGTAAGATGCTATTATCTCTTGTTATACAGTGACATCTCTAATGGGCACACAGTGGCCACAGGCTGAACAACAACTGCCTGCTCAACCTTTACTGACTGTTCCAACCACTGGGGTTTATGGACAATTCCAGCAAACCCAGCAGTACCCCCAACAGCAAGCAGTGGCAGCTGGTGCAGAAACTGTATTCTATTATCAACAGCCACAGGTTTGATGATGTTTGACATAATACATAAAACACTGGAGACCGTGTTTGACCACAATTTGAAAATTTGACACATAGCAGAGTATATTTGACGAACTTTGAAGTGTTTGGAAATGTGGTTGAACACTGTCTTGTGTAAAAATCTATGCTACTTAAGATCAGATGAATGAACTTAATGAATTATTACAAGTGCGACATGCACAAGTTTGTTATAAGTTAACTTCTGTGATTTTATTTCCTGTATGAGGTGTTAGTAAACCGAAAATAAAAATATCCTGTCAAAAGAAAATTTAAGAGTAAGGAAACTATTGTTTATCTGCAGTAGTGTCTGTTTACTTTTTTTAAAAAAAATCCACAAAAGAGGACCTTGAGAAACGTATTTAGGGAAGTTCCACTTTCGGAACTTAAGGTAGCTGTCTCCAGGGTGATTGTTACATGTATTAGAGGTTTGACTGTAATGATGTTTGTTTTGTTTTCCTCAGCCACAACAGCAGCAGCCGCAACAGCTCCAGCAGCAGCCACAGCTACAACAGCCAGGCACATACCCTGCATTAATGGACTTGTCAGGTGGCACTCAGCAAGTTTACCCTTCAGTTGCTGTACCCAGTAATGATCAGGCGATGTACCCAAATGCTAGTGTGGCTCCTCAACACTCAGCCCCTCCAGTTGTATATAACAGTCAACAGCCGCAACAACTAGTAAGCTGTTTTTAAACTACTGTTTAATTGTTTTACTTCTATTGCACATACATGTAGTACATGTATTACACAATGTTACATTTGCTGAGAAAGATTGATTTATTTTAAGAAAAGCTTTCCTTCATGATAACACTGTCATAAGTGCTTTTGACAGTGCCAACTACATGTAAGGTTTTCCTAGTTTTTACTTTGTTTTTGACAGCTTAGTTATTTTAATTTACACATGTTTTAAAATCATTGTAAAGCACTATTGGATAGTGATAGTGCTATATAAATAAAGCATTATCATTATTATTAAGCCCAGGCTGAGATTGCCTGTGTAACTGTGACAGAATCTTTCTTTTGGACACGGGGTGTGCATCTTCAGAGTGTTGCATTGACTCCCATGATGAGGGCACTTTTATAGCTCTTACTGGTTTTCTTTCCTAAGCATCTCATTGTATGGTCTCAACCAGAGTTTCCCCTTATAACCAGAGTTCAACTGCCATACATGCTTAAGAGGCCCTGCACCTAAGAAACGACCAATGATTTCTGGCTAAAAAATAAAATCGGCCGATTTTTATCTCCCAAGCAGAGGTTGCCAAATACTATTTAAAAATGAATTTCTTTTGTTTCAGTTTCGCTTTAAACCAAAAATGTTGAGCTGCAAACTTTTTCCGTCTGATAGCAGCAAAATCAGGCCGAAAATAAGCCCCCGCAAAAAACTGTTCAGAAATTACTATCGCAATGCAAAAT